GGCCAGGATGAATGAAGCAAACTCCCGCGGAGAATAAAACGGTTTGCAGTGGATAAAAAGATATTCCAGAGAGGAAGAGCAGTGCTGAGCAATCACTTAATAAAATCACTTAATAAAACCAAAGAAGAAAACAAGCCACATATCTGAATATTTTAATAGATCGTCTACAAACCACGTAATACTGTAAGAATTAACACTTTATAATAATAATAATGGATTGGATTTAAATAGCGCTTTTCAAGGCACCCAAAGGGCTTTACAATACCACTATTCATTCACTCTCACATTCACACACTGGTGGAGGCAAACTACGGTTGTAGCCACAGCTGCCCTGGGGCAGACTGACAGGGTAGGGTAAAGCGTCTTGCCCAAGGACACAACGACCAGGACAGAGAGCCCAGGGATCGAACCGGCGACCGTCCGGTTACAGATGCGCTTCCCAACCCCTTGAGCCACAGTCGCCCCCTTTATATCTAAGATTAAACTCCATGATACAAAATTGATCATGTTTCACTGTTACATTTATATCCCTTGGCTGCGGATATAATTTGAATGTTCTGAGATTCTTGCAGGCTTAAAAGATGAACAGAAATGATAAGAAATAATATTTCTTTAGTACTACACATATAATTTGATACTCTATGCTATTTCTCTCATTTTGACTTTTTTTCAGTATGGGCTATTAGTGATTAATTCCCTTATCATAAAGCCATATATTTATAATAAAAAGACTTATAGCTGGAGCAGTGTCTGGAGCAGGATTTCAGTGAATGAGTCAGCTGGGAAATTCTTTTTCTGTGCAGTAGAAGGGGCCTTTAGGAAATTGCTTTGATTTGTGCTTTGGCACAATCAAAATAAAACTCTCCCTGGGATTTAATTGGATACTTCAGCAAGAGTTCAGATACTTGATATTGGCTTGATCAGCTAATTTAAACTTGCTTTCTTTGTGTCATTAAAAAGCTTCAATATTGTGTCTACAAAGCAACAACAACTCTATTCATAACAAAAAAGGATATTTTCAGTGGCTTAGACGATAAATCCAGATATTTTAATCAGCCCCTTTGGAGTTTTGAATCTGATTGGTATTTCCTATTATTCCAGTTTACTTACTTTGAATACAATGACAAAACAACCACGAAAAAAAAACAAAGAAATAAAAATAAATAATTTCAAAAAGACCCCCCTCTCAAAAATAAATGATCATTTTATTATATCTGCACCAGATATTTTTTTCAAACCCAACCCGACTAGTCAGGCTCTGTTGGAAAAAAGCAGCATAGGACAGACAGAGAGGGAGGAGAAAGCAAAGGAGAGAGGAGAGGCTTAATTCAACAAATTGCAGGAACAACTAGATGAGAAAATAGGTTGCAGAATTAAAAAGACGCAATCATTTATCAACAAAAGACAGCCAAGAGAAAATGCTATTTGAGAGTCCTCACCATTTTTGTTGATGAGCAGGATCAGGTACTCTCTGTAGAACGAGCTGACATAGAGCAGAAGAGCAGGACTCTGATTGGTACTGAAGCTCAGAGAGATGCTTTCTCCTCTTAGTGTGATATCTGAGTAGATGGATGAAGGCAAGCCACTGCTGTTCCTGCTTAGTTCAAAGGGCTCCTTCAGGATGTAGGTGATGGATGTTGTTGACTTAAAGGTGGCTGAAACCTCTGGGAGTTAAGAAGTTAGTGAGAAGTGTCACTGTCGGAGCTGAATGTGCTGGTTTAAAGACTAAATTCAACTAATGCTCTTTGCAAATTCTGTTTTGATGATAAGCATCACATCAACTGAAGAAAGTAGAAAATATTTTTTAAAACTCCAGGTGGACGAAATGGATGCAAAAATTCAGAGTTGACGTCTTGAGCTTCATATGATAAAGCGAAGCAGCAAATGGTTGAGATTAGGGAAACAGTGCGGCTTTGAATAAATGTTAATGAGCATCTGGTTGAATACTTTAGTAAATTTTGAGTTTTGCAGTATCTGAAAATGTAATTTAATATCTGGCTTAAGGTCTTCTCTGTGATCTCCCTGATTCTGTAGTATCTTCTCAAACTGCCTATCTACACAGTCCAGACAAAGCAAAGTAGACAACAAAGGAGGTAAGTACTTTTTGATGAATAACTCAACAAGTTGCTTTGCGAGTTAATCAGCAGTTTAAACAGCAAAACATACTTTACCTGTGGCATTTTATCAGGGCAAGCAAGGCAAGCATTGTTTAATATCGGCATGATTTTTTTTGCCCCCCACCAAGATTTGATGTATTTCCTAAGTCTTCCTTTAAGTTTGTGTTTTGAGCAGTATATAAAGAAATGCAGGTTGAGATTGTTTGCATAATATTGTATATTAATGCCTCTTCGGTGGTCCATATGGTTAAGATAGGTCACTGAGTGCTTTGCCTCACACAAATTAACACCTGCTCTATTCCACTCCCTTTCTTGAAGTTTTTTATCATTATTTTTTATGGAAAACTTGAGAAACTAAATAAAATATCAAATTTCCAAAAGTTTTTATTTAGTTTCTCTTGTTTGCTCCTTCTCTCTAACAGGCATGTCAGACCTGACACGCTTTAATTACCCCCTATAACAACAACTAAGTGCAGTCCAAATGTATGGACAGTGTGTGTCACGGCCTGGAGGGTCAGCTGGTCACTGATCAGCTGATTTCTCTCTCTATCTCTCTAGTTCTCTCTCTCTCTCTCTCTCTCTCTCTCTCTCTCTCTCTCTCTCCATTATGGCTTCACGCCCTTGGCCCGCGCCCTCGGAGGAGGAAACACCTGTGCCTCATCAGTGTGGATGGCATTTAAGCCAGGAAGCAACGGCTA